TTTTCTTAACAGCTTGATTTTAAATCAACTGTGGACATTATCTCAAATATAATTTTGATTAACTGGAAGTTGACTCTAGTACATTATTTACCATAATAAAGTCAGATTTTAATTATTTGTTGTTCTTCATTAAATAGTAATTGAATTTGATATCTATAATTTCTATTTTTAAGGAATGCTTTTCTCATGTGGGTGGTTTCACAGTATTTCTCATATGCAGCATAATTTGGGGGGGGGGGGTTCAAGAAACTTTTTTTTTTTTTTTTTAAATAAAGGAAGTACATGACCTTAGTGGCATTGATTTTGCTTGAACTCTCTGTAATTATAGACTTTAAAAGCAAAATCTAGCTTACATCATTCAAACATAAATGAGAAAACTGAGTTTAAATTGTATATAGCTTGAGTCTGTTTTTTCCACAAAGCATACTATGGTATACTAGAACATATATAGGTACTTTAGGTTTCAAATCCTGTGTATTTTGCAAGAAAATTTATTTATAAAGTATTTTTTAAAAAAATTACAATGCAGGAAAAATTCAAAAGTGAATTTTCATTTCTTGAAAATTTCAAGAGAAAAAACACATTTCATGTATGTTAAAAGTTAATAAAATTTATTCTTATTCCAAGAAATAAAACAAAATACCGAAATTTCATCAGAGGTATTCGTACAATATCTCACAGTAGTTATATTTTAAACTACTAAAATGTTTAATAGAACTCAATTAAAAAACACAAAGAAAGCTAATCCGATCTCACCACGAATTCGCTATAGTAAACAACAACAGAATTGAGATGTTTTCCTCAAGCTTTTATAAGCTTTTTTATCAAGCACAAGAACATTCTGGTATTTTCTCGCTTTTTCTGGATAGCAAAGGAGTACACTTACGAGATACGTATTTATTAAAATGTTAAATGTACATGCTCCTGTATTTTAATATTTCCGGTGTAGCTTTCTCTTCAAATAAGTCTCATGCTGCATTGCACGGGAATATAAAACAATTTTAATTACAAATTCTACTAAAAATAGCTAAATAAATACAAATTTCATAACGTTATGTATTTCGACAACTGCTCAGAAAACAGTGATATTCAGTTTTTGATATATCATTTATCTTGATGGTATGTTCTCATTAGGTGATAGAAGCAACTAAAAAATGTATACATTGATATTTCTAAATTCTTTGTAGAAATATACATCACATGCCTGTCATAAAGAAACAAAAATGTATAATGCAGATTGTTATTTTACCTTTCATTTAATACTCCACAAAATATTAATTTTCCATATTATTTCTTCAAAATATTTCTATCAATACATGTTATAGTAAATTAAAAAAGGTACTTTTCGCCAGCGCAAATCTCGTCAAGGAGACTTTATTGGCAACAACACACAGTGTACACATAAAAATTTTTAACAAATGTTAGTTCTAAGAATTTTTTTATTTTGGAGGCATATATATTTTAATATCGTTTAAAAATTTTTTCAAATGGGTCTTTCGTGTCCTTTTGCCACATAAATTCGGCGAGGTAACTTTCCAGATGGTGATGTGCCGTTCCTCTGTGTTTCTTATTCCGCCATTTGGCACTACCCTATAATCTTTCTATTTTTTGTTTGCGAGTTCCAGTTTCTGGATCTACAAAATTATATTTATGGTTCACTTTGATATGTTTGAAACTTTCCTCTTCCAGTTTTTCAGTGCAATATGATTTCTATCAATCATATATTGTAGTTCCTTTTTCAATATTTTCCTTTATTGCCTCTAATATAATAGTCATGGATCAGTTTGGCACCTTCACAAGGAAACATTCGTTTGTTTCATGACAAACTCCACCAAAGATCCACTATTTTGGTAAAATCCGCCCCACATTGTTTTTTGGCTTCATGAACATACTTTCATCCACTTCAACGATCATATCAGGTCCTCCTATTTTGCGTTGTTGACGTTTAAGTAAAGAATCCACACAAACCTCTTGCATGTAGGTATTCCAATCCACAACCGTGACTGATTTCCAACTGCTTTTCACATCATTTAACTGAAGTTAATTCTTCACTCCAATCATAAATAAATCTTACACACTTCAAAAAACTCAATCTCGATGATTTAAACCATGTGCCTTTCCATATATTTCTTTTACTGCGGCAAGTTGAAAGGTTGCAGCGCCATTGAATTTCGTCTCTGAAATATAATTTAATTTTATGATTATTATCACAAATAGCAATGTTAGGCAAAACGCCTTTTGCTTAAAAGAATCTGACAGATTCTTCCTATGTCCTGAGCTAATCCCAAATTTTCATTGGCTTTTCATCCATTTTTGACATATTTGTAAAAAGACGTTAATTTAAGAATTTACTATGCTTTCATGGTACAACATGTTGATTCACCGGTTCATATCACGTGATCCCAAATGATCTCATCTCATGTAAACTACGCTACAAAAATCTGATTCTCTCAGCTATTATCTACATGATTTCAAGTTAAATCTTAGTATGGAATACGAGTTTAAATGCAAGAATTATTTCAATATTATAATAAAAAAAAATTCTATGTAACTGTATACCAGTATTGAAAGAAACTATCAATCTGATAAAAATAGAAAAGAAACTATCAATCTGATAAAAAATAGCAGCGACTTGTTTTGAAAATGTGGGCGTGAAAGGTTATCAGCGAGGATATTCGGTTTGGCATCGGTTGTACCATTTTCAGCGACTTTATCGCTTGCGCCGGCGAAATGGAAAATTGTGCCGGCCAAATGAAAAAGTACCTTAAAAAATTATGCATGCTGTGATTTGAGCTGCTAACTTTTTGCATGAAATGCCCATATGTAACCATTCAGCGAAAAGAGGTTCTCTTTACAGATGCATACTTGCCAACCTATGACACTAAAAAATCAGGAGATTTTTTTAAGAAATCGGGAGATTTTTCACAATGTTAAAAAGACTTTAAATGATGAAAATATAGTTTTTAATAATGAATTAATTTAAAATAGTAACTAATTCTTAAATGCAAGCAACACAAAAATACCTTACACATAAAAAACATTTTTATTACTTGCAACCGTTTAAGCAAAAAAAAAAAAAAAAAAAAACTTTAATCGGTTTTTGTACAAATGTTATAAACAGTGGCAGATTTTGCTTTCTTTAAGAAAGAAACGTCATAATTTTGTTCATAGCAATTGCCACGTAGGCCTGCTTTCGCTAATAAAAGTTTTTCTAATGTGTCATCACAAATATTAGATCTAAATTTAGTCCTCGTTTTTGCAACAACACTGAAAATCCTCTCACACTCTGCATTACTATGGGGAAATGTCAAGATGGCCAACATAATTCTAGACAGTTCACTATATTTCAAAATTCCATCAGCATCTTTCAGTTTTCTAATTAAACTCCACTGGGTGTCAATCTTAGCTGATTTTATAATTTCATCCAAGTTCTCTAATTGTAAACTGCTGTTATGCAGCTGTTGGAACTGTTTCAATTTTTTTTTCTTTTTAGAACTCCTTTCAAGATAATAATAAATATCAACAACGTGTTCATCCACGTTTATTGGTAAAGAAGCTTCCCTTTTTTCAGCTGCTAAACTTAAGGGGTGACCGGTGCACCTCATAATCTGCAAATCTGAATTTTCCTAAGATGCCTGCAACACCAGTATTCAAGCCTACCAATACTGGTGTATTATCAGCACCAAGTGCTAAGCAATTATCCAGAGGGACTACATTTTCTTTTAAAGTTTTAATAATTAGATGTGGTATATTAAAGCCTGTCAAATGTCCTTCTAAAGTGGGGACAGAAAGTAAACTGCACTCAATTTCTGAAGACTCTGGATTATAAAAAGAAACAACAATTGGATACAGTTTTGAATTGGTATTATTGCTTCCATCCATAGAGAGGCAGAACGGAGCTGTTTTATTGCAATCAATAACTGATGATTTATTTTTCAAACCCATTTCTTTAACAATTGCACCTGTTTTGGTTCTTGCACTTGAATATTTTTTAGCGATCTCACTATCGGGAAACATTTTTCTAAATAAAGCTGCAGCGTGATCCGATGCATTCAGTGGCAGGTTGTACTCCAGCAAAAAAGCAGAGAACAGTCATTCTGCATTAATAAATTTTTGGTCCTCTGTTTCTGAAGAAAAATTTAATTTTCCATTTTTTTTCAAAACAATTCACATTGTCCTTGTGTTTTTGTGTACGCAGATGTTTGAGAACATCTGCCCTTCCACCATGCGAAATAAAAAAATCGCAACGACAGGCGGTACACATTGCAAATTTATTACATTTCCTTGAGGAAATAATGGAAGGAAAGTCAACTGTGTAGGATTTTTGAAACGTACACGAGTATTTCACCTTTCTCACAGACATAACAAAAGATGATAATTTCTAAAACTATTTCCCGAAGGCATGTGTACTCACACAACTCAGGACAAAATGACCGAAATAACTAAAGAACATCCAAATAACAGTTTGCTTTGTCCTCATTGGCTAACATATGCCAGATGACACGCAGTGGAGCACGATGTCCATTGGAGAACTGGAGAACGACCTTTCTGAATACATATATGCTCTCACTCACAAAGCAGAAGTTATCTAATTCGCAAGGTTTTGTTTTAGATATAAGCTAGAGAAAATTCAATTGCTTTCAGACGTCCAAAATCACTTTTTTTTTTTGGTTCATATAACAAAGCATTAAGCCAAGTTCCATAAAAATCGTGAGAAATTTTAAGAATAAGAAAAAGTCGGGAGAAATATATCGTAAATCGGGTTGGCGGGAGAGCGGTCGAAAATCGGGAGTCTCCTGCCTAAATCGGGAGAGTTGGCAACTCTGCAGATGTAAGTTTTGTATATTTTAACATATGTACAGTTTGTAATTTTCACTTTTGCTGAAAAATTAAAAACAAATGTTTTAAATATAGATAAAATAAATACAGGCATAAAAGAAAGAGAGAGGAGAAAGGCAAAAGGTGAAAAAAGTTAAAATATATTTAATATAAAACTGTACCTAAGGTTGCCCCAGGTATATTAGGGCAAGCAGTACTAGGATGTGAAAGACTGCTTAAATATATATTATCTTTCACTTTAAAGCAGACAGCACGTTTTGTTACCGTCTTTTCATTAAACTTGTTGATTGCAGAAGCAACTAGTTCACCAACTGTTCCAGAATGGTATTTTAATTCATTAAGTTGCATCTCATTTAACACTGCCTGAAAGATAGAAAACAATGAGATGAATATTGTTGAATTTCTTAGTATTAATACGTATTTGGAAAAATGGTAATCCAAATGACTAAAATCCATACATTATAATATTATTAATACTGTTATTATTATTACTAATAACTACATTGCTAAAATCTGCTAATATGGAGTAAGAAGGCATTGTTAATTCAAGTCTTCAAATTTTCCTGAAAAACTTGTTTTAATTTTATGCAAAGATTACAGCAAATTATTTACCTATATTTTTACACTCATGTTAATTCAAGTTATTTTTGTAAGGATACTAACAGATTATTTTGTTGAATTGCTAGTCTAATTTATTTAGTCTTACAAAAATATTAGCTTATAACACAGAGTAAGGGCAATATACATGCATATTCATATGAATTAATATTGTAGCTAAATACAAACTCATACTTGCCAACCTATAAAACTCAAAAATCAGGAGATTTTTTTAAGAAATCAGATTTTTCACAATGTTAAAAAGACTTTTTAAATGATAAAAAATATAGTTTTTAATAATGAATTAACTTTAAATAGTTACTAATTCTTAAATGCAAGCAACACAAAAATACCTTACACATAAAAAACATTTTTATTATTTGCATCGTTTAAAAAAACAACAACAAAACAAAACAAAAAGACACTTTAATCAGTTTTCGTACAAATGTTATGAACAGCGGCAAATTTTGCTTTTGTTAAGAAAGAAACTTCATAATTTTCATAGCAATTGCCATGTAGGCCTGCTTTCGCTAATAAAAATTTTTCTAACGCGTCATCACTAATATTAGTCATGCAGCTGTTGGAACTGTTTCAGTTTTTCCTTCCTTTTAGAATTCCTTTCAAGATAATAATAAATATCAGCAATGTGTTCATCCACATTTATTGGTAAAGAAGCTGCCTTTTCAGCCTTTTTCAGCTGCTTAATTTAAGAGGTGATAGGTGCACCTCATAATCTGCAAATCTCAATTTTCCTTTCTTAAGATGCCTGCAACACCAATCTTCAAGCCCATCATTACTGGTGCATTATTGGCACCGAGTGCTAAGCAATTATCCAGAGGGACTGCATTTTGTTTTAAAGTTTTACTAATTAGCTGTGCTATATTAAAGCCTGTCGAATGTCCTTCTAAAGTGGGGACAGAAAGTAAACTTCACTCAATTTCTCAAAGACTCTGGATTAAGAAAAGAAACAACAATTGGATAAAGTTTTGAATCGGTATTATTGCTTCCATAAAGAGGCAGAACAGAGCTGTTTTAATGCAATCAATAACTGAAGATTTATTTTTTAAACCCATTTCTTTAACAATTGCACCTGTTTTGGTCCTTGCACTTGAGTATTTCTTAGCGATTTCACTATCGGGAAACATTTTTCTAAATAAAGCTGCAGCGTGATCCAATCCATTCAGTGGCTGGTTGTGCTCCAGTAAAAAGGCAGAGAACAGACATTTTGCATTAATAACTTTTTGGTCCTTTGTTTCCGAAGAAAAATTTAATTTTTCATTTTTTCAAAACAACTTATGTTGTCCTTGTGTTTTTGTGTACGCACATGTTTGAGAACATCTGCCCTTCCACCATGCGAAATAAAAAAATTGCAACGACAGGCGGTACACATTGCAAATTTATTACATTTCCTTGAGGAAATAACACAACTCAGCACAAGATGAACGAAATAACTAAAGAACATACAAATAACAGCCTTGAGCTTGCTTTGTGCTCATTGGCTGATATATGCCAGATGACATGCAGTGGAGCTCGATGCCCATTGGAGAACTGGAGAATGACGTTTTTGGTGCTCTCACTCACAAAGCAGAAATTTTCATCTGATTCACAAGGTTTTGCTTTGGATATAATCTAGATAAAATTGAATTGCTTTGAGATGTCCAAAATCACTTTTTTTTTTGTTCATATAATGAAGAGTTAAGCCAAGTTTCATAAAAGTCGTGAGAAATTTTAAGAATAAGAAAAGTTGGGAGAAATATATTGTAAATCGATTTGGCTGGAAAGTGGTCAAAAACTGGGAGTTGGCAACTCTGCAAACTGAAAAGTGTGATAAATTAATTCAGAAATTATAATTCCTGATTGGTTAATGTTTTAATTTAATTATAAGTCCTTTTAAAATTACCTTTGTGATGTCTTTATCTGAAGTATAAGCAGTAATGTGATTTATACATCCAGATAACACATTTTCAACAAATAGCTGGAATTCTGCATTTCGAGCTACAAAATCTGTTTCACAGTTTACCTAAAAATACAGAAATAAATAACTTGAACAAAATTGCAAGAGAAATTTTGAATTATTCAATATTAAGTAATGATTTTGATATAAACTTCTCCTAAGATTTAGTCTGGCAATCATGCTCGTAACAATCCTTCAGGAATGTTGTCCTTTTCATATGTGCTCTTTTTGTTGTATTCCAAGTTGCAACAGTTTTTATAAACATATTGTGATATTTTTTATCTTAATTTTACAATACAGATTTGCGAAATTTACCTTTTCTGCAGGAATACAGAATTTTGCTGCAAAATCTCTAAAGCAGTGGCTTTTAATCTTTTTTGTTCCAGCACCCCTTTTACGATTGTTAAATGATCATTCCTCCTTTTCAAAACTTGAAAAATGCATATACATTTATTTGAATTTAAATTTTTTTAATGTGTTATATGAATTAAACAAGAAAATGTTGATAAATGGCAAAGCTTATATAAAGATAATTTTTTACATTAATAAATTAAAACTAAATTCTTAACAGGTAAACAAAAAGATGACTACATCCCCTTGAAACTATGAAATTTTTCCTTAGAAATGAATTCCTTCTGTTTCAGAACAAAAAGTGTAATTGTTTTATTTTTTAATGTATCACATATTCCTTACTTAATAATTAAATTTGTTTTCCAAATTGCCAAAGTATAATTTCTTTCTACATACTGAAGATGTTGATAGCCTGGAATTAAAAAAAAAAAAGTTACGAAAACCAGCAAAAAAAAAACTGCCAGATTTCACCAAGGTGGTTGCATTAATATGTAAGTACAATTTCTCCACGCAAAAAAAATTTTATTGTTGCATAATAATTTAGTTCATCACAAACATGCAGATTGTTATGAAAATCATATAGTAAAAAGTACTTAAAATTTGCATTAGGAATTTAACCAAATATTCTTCTTGCAGATTTGTTACTAAAGAAATGCTATATGTTTTCTTTATATGAACTGAATTTATAATATATAATTTACAATAAGCAATAGGTAGTTTCTTACACACCATAAGTTTATGTAAATTACATGGCAGTGTATCATGAGCTCAGAGAAACCATCCCTTGATGTCCTTCCGACACTCAGGTGGATTGGGAATAAGGTAGTTAGATTGGGGAGGGCAGGCTGATTTCAGCAACAATAGTCTTGAAAACTGGGCATACAAAAATAATTCTTATGTTGTAGTGGGAGGCACTGCTCTATTGGAAAAGTCCAGTTACCATAAATGGATGTTATGCAATACATTCATGGTTTTATCCATGACAACTGCAGTATCCAAGGTTGGTTCAATCCTAGTTCAGCAGTTGTTCCCTGGCCAAGCAATGAATTCTGATCTTGCTATCAAGATAATGCAAGAATAATAGGATTTATTTGACCAGGCAATATATTTCTTCTGCTCAGTGGTCCAATGATGATGCTCATGTACACACTGCAGGCATTAATGATGATGATGTGATATGAGTAACGGAGCCTTGGTGGATTGGGGACAGTGGAGAACCATACCAACAATGTGTGATGAAATGTATGCTTTAAAATACTCTTGCTTTGCCCTGCAAAAAAATTAGTACCCAATTGAGCAATGAAATCATGCTAATGTCACTTTACCAAATGTAACAGTCTATGGTAGTATCTGCTGACTTTGAAAATGTATGGATTGCTGACACCTTGCTTTATTGCTCATTTCACATTTAATATGGCATTTCTGTTGATATTAGCTATAGCAACACAAGAAAAGCCCACATTTGGGGTTTCCAAAATGTTCCTTTGAAGGTGTGATACTCATTCATTGTCAAGCTCACCTAACTTTGGGGCTTTACTTAATGATGACAGCACAAAACATTTTGATCACAACCATGATTCCCTTACACTAGATTTAAATCTTTCTAATATCATCATATACACTTCACTTCCACAAGTGGGCTGCTGACATTCAAGGACAGGTGGAAAAATGCTCTGGCTATTCAATATATATATATTTTTTAGTTCTAATTTTTTTTATGTCTTTAAAGACAATTTTTCTGCAGCTTAATGCGTGAAAATATTAGGCATGTTTGTGTTTTATTTTCAAAAGACAAAAGAATTGTTTTGTAATTATATATATATATATATATATATATATATATATATACTTTTTTGTTTTAATATTGTACTATTAGATATAAAACACTTACTTCTACCATAACGCCTACTGAATTTCTAGCGAATACACCAATGAGACCTTGTCCAGCAGATCTACTTTGCATTTTGGCCCATTTGGACCAGCCTTTCTGTTTAGCTTCAGCATGCAACCATTCCTCAGCCTACAAAATGCACTTCATTACTTTTCATGATCTAAATAAATATAATAATGGTTTTGTATTGATACTATATGGTGAAAGGAACTCATATACCTTAGAAATATCATCACTGAAAAGTTCCAGAGCTTTCCTGCAATTTGATATGGAGTAGCCAGTAGATTTTCGCAGTTTACTTAAAGCTGAACTCTTAACAGATGACATATTTGCACAACTTGCATGAAAAAACCTCCGACTTATTAACCTAAAGAATTTTAAAGCACAATTAATAAATTCAAATAATAAATCTATAGCAAAACATTGCAAACGTTGCATAAAACCTAATTTAACGATATCCAGAAGTTACCATTATGTGAATCGTCATTGTCAACAGCACACTAAATATTCACTTCATTCATCAAGAACATCATTATAACACAGAGAATGACACATAATACACAATAAAAATTTTTCTTTCTTTCAAGACTTTAAACGTATACCACTTAAAAGACAGTCTCTGCGCATTTGTTAAGCCTTTTCCTTAGGGTATCCGTATTTATTGGCAGCAATGCATGCACAGTGTGCACTTGTTATCACTATCACGACAGGCTATTGCTATTAAATAAATTGTTATTAGCAATGATTTAGTTTAAAGTAATTAGGATTGTAATCTAATTTTTATTAATTTAATGTATGTGCTTATTTATATTTTAAGTAGTGTTTTTTTAATTTAATTATATTTTAATTTAATGATCATGATTTTGTGAGTTATATGTTTGTTGTATCTTGGAATATGTTTGAGTAGTATACGTTGAGTATTTTCATGCATTTTCGTAAAATTTTTCTAATTTATGAGAAAAAAGCAGTGTACATGGATATAGTGAAGAGCGTGCGCAATGCCGTTTTTGTGCAATTCTGGGATGTTTTTTTAAGTAAAAATAAGTCGACGTGTACATGGTTTAGTGATATTTTAATTAAATGATAGTTATTTTGTGAATTTTATGTTTGTAGGAATTTGGTATACGTTTTAGTTGAAGTAAACGTGCATGGAAATAATTTAAATATTTGACACTAAGCATTTGTAATGTTTGCGGTATGAATTCGTTAGTGACGTTTATAATATAATAGATAATTTAGAGGTAAAAGTTTTTGGATATTTTATTTATTTAATACGTGGAAATGTTCATATTTGGAAAGGGTATATACTTTTTCGCGCTAAGGTAATTTCATATATGTTCTTTTTACCGGGTTTAAACATTCAGAAAATTGTCATGTATTTTCGTGAAATTTTTCTAATTTATGAGAAAAAAGCAGTGTACATGGATACAGTGAAGAGTGTGCGCAATGCCATTTTTGTGCAATTCTGGGATGTTTTTTTTTAAGTAAAAATAAGTCGACGTGTACATGGTTTATGTGTATATGTTATTGTGAAAAACGCGCAAGGAGTTTGCGATTGTGCACTTTTTCCCAATTTTGCAGTGAATATTTGTCATGATTAAGCAGTTTTGTTAGATAAAATTTCTAGTATAAGTGTAATTTGGCTAGTAGATTGTTGGAAAAAAGTGTTCAGTAAATAAAAAGAAAAGAAACGTGTTGACTTCGTGAAGACAAAATGGCGGCGGAAAAAAAAAAAAAAATAGAGGGTTGCTGTAGCAGAGTTGGTCGCGAAATTTTTGCCAAGAAATCGCCAAGTTACCATAATCCAAAGATCAACCGAGAATTCCTCGCAAGGCAAACTAGCTCATAATCATGCTATACTTGGGAAAAACTATAAATATTATATCCAGCAGCCAGTTTGCTCAGGTGCTAAGAAAGTAAGCCAATATAAATTAGGAATCTTATTTACTTCATGACTGAGCTAAAATAAATGAAGGAACATAGCTTCTTTATGCATATATCTATAATTCACAGATTTACAAAACAATAAAGGTTTCAAAAAATCTCTGATGTCTATTTAGAATCACCACTTCATACAGTTAGAATATTAAGTTAAATAAATTATGTTACATTTTAGATCGGGATTTAAACTTCAAATATTTAAGGAATGAAACAAAGAAATGTATGCTACATATCAGCATACTTTAAAGCAAGAAATTCTTAATAATTGCTATTTTAACCAAACATTCATAATTAGAATTAATCCAATACTCATGCCTATTGAATTTTTAAGTCATTACATATTATGAATATGGTAGTTTCTGTTAAAATTGTTATGTTCATAATCTTTTATTATATAAGGAATTAACAACTGCCTTATAATTTAAAAAAAAGGGGGATAAGCTAAATAAGAAAATTTTGGTAATCTATTATTGGGACTGGATTCAGAAATGCATATATGTTTGCATGTATGTATGGATATATGTGTTCATGTATGCACATATTATATGTATGTACATATGTATGTGTGTGCATATACATATTTACATAAATATTTTGATCCATTCCTGATAACATAAGAGTTCCGAAAATTTCATTCATTGTTTTGGCAGATATATATGGGTAGTATTATTTGGTTACAGTAAATAATTTTGAACTTCTTTATGTTTTTTTAGGAAATTCTAAAAAAATTTCAACTATTTGCATTTTTTAAATGCAGACTTTAAAACTTATAATAATACTTTAAGACTATGGTTACATATTTTATCAATATGTAATTACACTCATGTACTATATATACTCTAAGTACTAAAGTTTCTATATATATATAAGATAAAAATATGCAAATAAGCTTTATAATTTAATTTAGCAATAGCTTCTTAATTACTCATTTTTAATTTGGGTATTTCCTCTCTGTATTCTAAAGCAGTAATAATTTTTCTGGATTGCACCATTTGTAGATCAATCTCTGTCACAGAGCTTGCATAATGCTGATGACGTAGTTAATTAGAAAGTGCCTTATTGATATTATGCACAGAATCAATAAGGCAGGTATTTAAATACAAAGTGCTTAAAATTTGCCCAGAAAGGAATTAACTTACTTGTTTGCAAAATTTGAATCAGAGACAAAGTGGCTGTAACAATCAATGCTTGTAGTGATGGAATGCAATACAGTTATAGTATTTAGGGGAAGAGGAAGGAGTTGGTAACATGTGGGATGCTATTTTTGGGAGGTTGAAAATGAAGTAGTGTGCAAGCTACCATAAAGTATGTGAGAAAAACTTGTGGCTTAGTAAAATTTCATCGAGAGGCGTAGCTAGAGTTTTCAGCGCCCGGGGACAACTGAAGATTTTGCGCCCCTTTCTCTGTGCCAAGAACGGAAAGCATTTCATTCCAAAATTTCGTAACATCAATTTGGCGCCCCCTGAATGCTGCGCCCAGGGACAGATGTCCCCCCTTGCCCCACCCTAGCTACGCCACTGATTTTATCAACAGAAGAAATTAATTTATTTCTGGCTAATGGTCTAAATTGAACAAAGAATGGGAAATCTTCACTAGTAAAGGGCTACTTATTAGTTTTAGAAATTTGAAATATGCCCATTAGTTAGTAAAAAGATTAGAATGTCAGAAGAAACGAATAATTTAGCATATACAAAAAGTTACAGAAACTACAAAATTTAAAAATCTTCAACTGACATACATCCAACAGATTCTGCCTTTTGAAGCTTTAGGAATAAATTATAAATAACCCCATCAATTAGATTTATATTAATTATTTAATGCCTGCTTTTTTAAGATAAAAATTAATAAATTTATCAGATACTAGATTATTTTTAAGAACTTGAATAAGTAGCAAAATCTCTACTTATTCAATATACTTGTAAGTATCTAGTGTATTTGTACAAAGATTTCTGATTAGTTGTATTTGACTCATTACTGTATTACTAATTACTTTTTTGGAAATGTTTAAAGTACAATTAATTTATTAGTAATAAATTTGAAGTTCCTTGTTTTGTCAGAGTTTAATCCTGTGTGTAATTCACTATTTGAAGATCTAGAAAGGGGATAATATACTAAATAATGCATTAGTATATAAATTATATGGGTAGAGTAGACTTTAAGGTACCCCTTGTATTATGGCGAAGTTGTTTGATTTATCGCCAAATTGTTGTTTCACTTATGGTAGCCTGAGTAGTTGAATGTTATGGAAACCCTATTGTGACGTAATCGGGGGGCATGATTTTGGGAAATTTTGAATCATGGGATGTTTTGTAAGCATTTTTGGGGTGTGTGTTGGTTTGATTCTTTAGACGGTAGAATGGCCGAATGTAGTAAGATTAATTTGAAATTTCTGTACGATTTGGAGCGAAAGGGGAAAATAGCTTTAACTGACTGGTGTGTAAATGAAGGTTTACTTAGTAGCCATTATAAATGTCCTGTATGTAGGAAGGATATGCGTCTAGTCGAACGTACAAACCGTTTAGATGGATTTGAATGAGTTTGTAGGAAGAAAGGTTCAGATGGTCACTATGTGAAGCGTTTGATCAGAAAGAGTACCTGGTTTGAAAAAAGTCATTTAAGTATGATTGATATTTTGATTTTTACGTGGCTCTGGGTGTACGAAGCGAACTCGAAAATCATGGTAAGTGAATATTTGCTTTTGATAGTGCTTAAATGTATAACATGTTTTCCCTTTTTTTTTATGTTATTTTATTGTTTGGTTTAAAATGTATTTTAATGAAATTATGTATTTTTTGTTTGCCTATATTGTAGAATTTGGTGCTTCTTTGACTTTTTAAGTGAAAATCTATCGATGTGTACATGGACAAAGTAGAGGGAGTGCGCAATGCAAGTTTGCGCAATTCTGGGATTTTTTTTAAGTGAAAATAGGTCAAAGTGTACATGGAAAAAGTTAAAAGAGTGCGCAATGCCATTTTTGTGCAATTCGGGGATTTTTTTAAGTGAAAATAGGTCGACGTGTACATGGATAAAGTCAAAGAAGTGTACAATGCCATTTTTGTGCAATTCGGGGATTTTTTTAAAGTGAAAATAAGTCGATGTGCACATGGAAACCAAGTTTGTTCAATTGTTTGTCAAGTTGTTTTGGCTTTCTGTAGCGGTGGCAAAAATCACCGCTTTGCAAGCCAAAATAATGAGTTAAGGAATTGTACAAAATTGGTATCCATGTGCCGCCAAAAATTGTCAAGTTTTGCCAAGGGTCCCTAACTATTTTTACCAATATATACAGTCAAAGTCGTTATTCGAACACCCATAATCCGGAATGATCTATAATCGGACCTCAAAGCTACAAAAACTTTCTGCTGCTCATGCGCCGCGTTCACGCATGCGCACAGGCGTTACGAGAGCGCGTAAGACCCTTACGGCTGC